GCCCAGGAAACGGCATGGTGGGGGTGATCATGATAAGGTGGGTTGTACCATGATTATCTGTCCCCGTGTTGGGGTTGTTTGTGTATGCTGACAGGTTGGGGTTGGGAAAGGGTATGTCGAAATTCTTCCAGGTTACACTCGATACGCTGCTGCGCCAGCTGGAATTCAACACCAGCTCGGCTTCACTCACCAGCAGCGAGACCGTTCGACCAGTTCTCCTTGCATCGCCAGGCTTCGTGGCCTCCGGATTCCAGAAGTACATCCAGTCGCAGGCAGCCACTTCAACCCCGGCACTTAAACGCCTCCTACCCAGTATTGTGGTTGTACACTCGGCTTCCGGTTATCTGCACTCGCTAGCGGAAGTGCTGCAGTCGCCGGCTGTGAAGACCATCCTTGCCGATACCAAGTACGCGCGCGAGACAAAGCTCATGGACGACTTCCTCGACCAGCTCCGCAAAGAAACCAACAAAGCGACATATGGTCCCCGCGAGGTTGAATTCGCTGTCGACCAGGGTGCCGTTGGCCGCGGTGGCGGCGTGCTGATCATCTCCAATCGGCTGTTCAGGTCACAGGATGTGGCGGAGCGCAAACGCTGGGTATCGCTGGTAGATCGGGTACGGGATGTCGAGGGTGGTGAGGTGCGAGTGCTTAGCTCCGACCATGAGAGTGGAAGGCGACTTGATGGGCTAGGAGGGGTGGCAGCCCTGTTGACGTTCCCTATAATAGATGAGGATATAGAAGAGGAGGGGGAGGACGACCATTAGAGCTTATGTTTCGGGTGTGCACAGCCCGGACACCTGCTGCTACTCCCTTCTCGTAATCCCTGATGCTGGGTGTCTAGCCCCTGTAACGTTGAACGAATGCACGACTCTCATAGCTAGTGTGTCTAAGACGCTTATCATTCAAGAACCCGGAGAAGGTCCGAACGGAATGAGTGCAACGGCAAAGATGTGTACAACATTCAGCAAGCCCGCCCGCTGAGGGGTTGGAAGACGACAGCGACACTAGAAGCGCAGTAACCATTCCTGGCGCTTGATTCTGGAAATCCTGTGCTCCGCCATACTGGCGCAGAACCGACGGCAGGATTTGGCGGAAGGTAATCGATTCAATTAGATGCTAGGCAGACGATCATGTTGTCATCGGTGTGCGCAAGATAGCTGTGCCATGAACGCTAGTCTTATCCCCGACGAGCCAAAGCAGGCGGTAACACCGGCGCCGTGGGAAGAAGTTGACAATCCCTGCTGCTGCGGCTGAAAGGTGCATGTACATGTACATGTGCATGGCATGGCATGGCAGAGCATGTCATTGCATTGGCCGGTAACACCAGGCTAAACTTAGCCGAGTAGTTTTCTACCCGGTCCAGACTGCTTGAGTCACTGACTGCATTCCTCCTAAAAACATCACCGATTAGGCAGCTGCTAGGCAACATGTATCTGTACGTAAGCGTGTGGAGGATCAGCCCGGCGGCTCTTTCATAGGGACCGACGTCCTCCAGCTGTCGTGTGGCTTGGGGCTGGCGGCTAAGAACTGACCTCTGGAGATGCAGCCTATCTCCCACCAAAAGAGGCTAGCTGGGCCCCTAGTCGAGCTGATCTTCAGCCGTTAGATGGCCTGAAAGTTTAATTGTGATCGCTTAGCAGCTGGGAAACTCCCTAGGGGCTGTACGACGCTGGCTTCGTCTCTTTGTCCGTCGCATTAGCGTCCAGAGCAAGGCCCGTCCTTGATCGGCGTGCTCGCTTTCTCTCCCGATGTCGGGAGACGCTCTCTCGATATCCATGATTCGAGATTCACGTTGCTCAAAAATAATCCAGAAATATGTCATTCGCATGCAATCGGTCACAGGGTATATCCAAGTAAACAAAGAAACTCATCCAGACGTAAACAATCATCCTTGCGTGTAATTTCCCCCCAACAAAAAAAAAAAGAAAGCCCCAAAGGAATCCATAATGCGCTTCAACATCCCTCCCAGAAAAAAAGAAGTCAAAAAAGTACATTCCCAAAAACCACAAATGCTATTTTGTACTACCACTGGCCACACTGGAGGCCACCTTTGACCATGATCGCTTTCGCGATGGCTGAGGATCAGGTATTCGTGTCCGCGGACCAGTGCTACGCTCCCGGTTCTGTGCATCGAGGTATCGCAATTGGGCTTCACATTGCTCTGGGGTGTACGGTCCCGCTCCGAACTCCTTCATCTAGATTCGTAATCTAATTAGCAAGGTCCATTAGGCCAAGGTTGCACTAAGGACTCACCTTCTGTGCAATCACGTTGTATTTCTCATGCTCCCAGTACTCCCGCGCTCTTATGAGCAGTCGGATCTGGATGACTTGATCGTTAATTAGTTGACAATTTGCGACTGCTCAGGCGCACGTACTCACATCATTCTCATCCCACCGTGCCAATCGCTCCTTCCGTCGCCGCAACATGCGCATTTGTAGACGTGCCTCCGAGGCATCCTTGTGGAACTTGTTCCGGAACATCTCCCGGATCACTTTCCAGGCTAGATTCTGCTCCCGAAGCCTCTCTACAAATGCGTCTTCCTCCTCAGCTTGCGGGTCTCGCCTCCCCCGACCCGGAGCCCGGGGCCTTTGACTGCTTTGAGCGTCGGCTGCCCCTTGTCGTCGCTCTTGTTCCATGCGCTGCAGCCCTTCAGGATTAGGTAGTATTGTAACCGGTGCTTCTCGGGGTGTGACTGCCTGCTTGGGCCCACGTCGGACCCTCTTCGCGGGTGGCGGTTGAGGTGACAGGATAGCTTCGCTGAAGCCAAAGTCCGGCTCCTCTGGAGTATGTCCCAGACCTGCGGTGACAGTACGGGGGAAACTGCTGGGGAAGGGTGCGGTGATGCCTAGGCCTTGCGGTGGGACGGACTCGGGAACGTTGTAGTGAAAGTCTTGTGAGTGATGACTGAGCACCGGGCTTGGTCTGAAGGAGCTATCCGGAAGGCTGATCGGAGTCAAGATGGCACCAGTCGGGAAAGCTGCTGTGGTAGTATAAGGATTGCTAACACCGGTATAAGGTGACTATATGGCAGAATGATCAGCAAGTGGCGATCCAATAACATTTGAATTCAACGTACAGTATCGAGTGCGGTCCACTGAGGCTGCATACTGGCATAGTACTCGTCAAGTCCATCTCCGGGGTTCGAGCCACCATGGCTGAACACCATTGGCGCCGAGTATCCGATGGGTGTCTGGGGATACATTGTGAAGGCCAGCATGCGGTTGCAAATGATGCAGGGGCTGTTGTTGTGGAAGGAATGTAACGTGGATGAAACACGCAAGAGGGCAAACCGCCAGCAGTGGGCAAGGAGACTAATATAATAGATGATTAAGCTGAATTATGAACGAGCAGAGAGATTAAGAAGGCTTCTTCAGAATGAGTCAGGTGGAAAAGAATTATAGTTCTGCAAAAGTCGTAATCGTCAGGTGAAAGGCAAAGATTGCTTTGAAGTGAAATGTGGAAGGATGGAGTAGAAGTTTAATGGACGTGCGTGTGGATTCATATACTCGAGTAGGAGATATCAATGAAAGACAAAATGCCTCGCAAGGCAGGCCAGAAGTGTGAAGCCTTTGGTGATCGGGCTTAGAGAGCTCTAGTGAACATGGTAGGTACCGCCCACTTTCACTGTGCCGCAAAAATTGAATCGCAATCAGAGGTTGTAGGTATGACCATGCGCCTGCATTTAAGCGCCCGCTGATTCCAGGCGGATGGCTCCATTTTCTAGAGGGGCAGGGGAGGAGAGAGAAATAATTTCTCATCTCTTGACATGACATGAGAAGGGAGACAATCCAGCCCCCAAACCCCCCGGGGCTCAGACTTTTGCATTCCCAGGCCCACCCATGTTACTCAAGAACAAGGCAGTACCTGCTGCGATCTTAGTTCCGATGTACTGGGTCCCTGATGTGGGCACTGTCGAATGGGTAATGCCATGGAAAGAGTTACAAAAACCGACACTTTAGCGAACCGCCCATAGTCCATATCAAATAGCACTCAGTGGGTTAGCGCTGGAGCTGACAGTTCTGCTAATGGTCAAGTCCAACGGAGAAAGCCTAGCGGATAAGAAAATCCTGGGTAAAGGATCGCAAAATGGAGAAAGTATAATAACAAATAATTAAATGACTACAAATCCGTGTAAAAAGCGTGGAAAAAAAATACACCAGAAAGTCTCCGAACGGCAGATGAACGCATCGCCAGTTTCCTAGCCGCTACGGGAGGTGGAGATGGAGGGTGAGAGCGGCCAAGAGAAGACGAATTGACAAGCTACTAGACGCAGCCCCAACAACGGTAGGTCATAAGCCAGGATTCTGGTGCTTTGTTAGCCGGACGCAACTAAATCCTGTTCGGAAAGCTGTGGAGGAGACACGGTCACCAGCAAAACCGGAGGAGAGCATCAAGGAAGCTCTATGAGCAGGGGTAGCACAGAAAGATAGGCCATTAAGCGCTTCTCCGTCGCTGCGGCTGCAAATCCCGGTGGATCAGACGGACTCGACTAGGCTAGGCTGGCGGGCTTGTCTGACAGACATGGGGAGACATGCTTGTTGTGGTTTTGCGATCGGACTAGTGTAATCGCCCTACGGAGTCGAGCTGACCACCAAAGCCATCCGCCAGGCCCGTAATGAACGGTCATAATGTACGGTCTCTCCCCATTTCAGTCCACTCATGCGCGGGTACCGGGAAGGCTGTCCCCCTGGATCCAGCAGGTTAAGATATGATCGGTTCAGTGCTCATCCTGCCGGCTACCTGCGTTCAACCAAAGCCACGTGTCCCCGAAGGGAAAGGTGAGTTACGCGCCAGACGAGATGAGGATGGATGGGGTGGTCCTCTCCAGACCTGCGAGTTGCTTCACAAGAACGTCCATCTCCAACCATTATTCCAGTCCGGAGATTCCCGCCATGGCACTGGCGCCTAAGGAATCGCCGGTTTGCTCGGGGAGGCCGTCTTGTTCTGGAATTCGCTTAGTGCACTTCGCGCAAGATTTTCATGCTGGATTTCCTTTCGGCGTCCGCGAGGGATTTGGCCCTATGGAACGGCCTTCTGACCGGCGTGTCATCGAGGCCCCTCTCACTGTCGGTTTGCGCACATCACCGCCATGTGGATGATCTTCATTCTTTCAGCGAGTCGAACGATCGGGGCCCCCGGGGCGCATCCACGTGATGTCACTGGGTTTCTCAGTTTCCCCTCAGGGTTAGTGGATGCCACCTTGTCATCAATCCCACTATTTCCCCTTCATGAACGAAGAGAAGACAAAAAAGGCCCATCCTCAGGCTCACGCGCTAACACTAGTAATGATCTATTTTGGACCGGGCGCGGATCTGATCAAGAGCAGGAGGATGTCGGTCAATGCCGGATTTGCCGAATGAGGGCAAGGTTGTCGCCTAGGCGTTTTTTGCCCTCAAATTGGCCCCTTCGTTCTTCCCTCTCGTCTTTCCCCTTTTACCTGGGTTCCTCTTCGATGGTCCAATAATGCCCACACGAGGAGCTGTGGCTATGGGCAGGCGCAGCAATGGCTGGTTGCAGTCCTGAAACGATGGGGTCGTTCTCACCTGTGTTTCACCTATAGCCCCCTCGGATGCTGGGGGATGATCTCATCTAGTAATCAACCCTGCCACTGAATCATGGATGATCTAACCGTCAGCAACGGGTGAATTGGCATCCAAAATGTCCGTGTCCTAATTCAGTTTGGACCCATTTTGCATTACTACATTTCCAAAAAAGAAATAATTTGAGATTGTAAAAATTTTGATGACGTGAGAGAAATTCCATGCAAACAAGAACCCGAGTAATAAAGAAAGAGGTCATGAAGGAAGCGAAAGGGGAGAACGAGCCCTAGGGAAGTATATAATGCCCCGAGGACAATGAGCCGTGTAACCAAAACCGGCTGATCTGCAGCAGGGTTTCTATATATGGGGATTAAGGGCAGACAGTTCATTCGTGACTGCCCGTTACCCCGGTTGACTGCTTCGGATGAGCGCCCCCGTTAACAGGGTACCCGTTATTGTCATCGTCGTCTTCTTCATCTTCTAAGAACCCTTCTAGACTCTCGTCTTGGCCTGTCCCACGATGGTTTCCCAGCGTATCGTCGGCCGAGACGGAGATCCCTCTCGCTCCCCAGCGGTTGTTCCTTGGTCTACCGCCACCAGCGACCTCCTCGTCCTCCACGTCCTCCTCATTTAGATTTTGCTCCTCATCTGCACTCCTCCGCTGCCGGAAGTTCAGAATCTTGCTCACTAGCCAGCTGTGGCGGAAATCTTCCGAGTCAACAACTCCGCCATTTCGGAGCTTCACACGTTGGCGGGTATAGTAAACCCAGGCAAAATCAACGTAGAAAGCCGTCTGGATGACACCGTAGAGGTCTGCAATCACGTCCCAGTGACCCTCAGCGCCCAGTCCCCGTACAAGCCAATTGAGAATATAGAAGGCGCGATAGGAGCCCAGCATAAGCAGGTAGTATGAATCGATGACGGTTGGAACGGTCGTTTGGCGCAGGAGCAACAATTGAGGGAGAACACAGACGGACTCTAAGATGATCGAGAAGGTCCAGCAAGTCTGCATATCATCATGATTCGGTTAGCGAGCTCAACAGGCCAATGCGAGCCATTCAACCTACCTCTGTGAACCATCTATCGGGATAACCACGATAAAAGATGACAATGGATATGGGTGCCAGAACCAGAGATAGGGCGACCGATATTATAGCCATCTTCCAGGCTCGCTCTCTTTCCCGTGTCCGGGGAAATACTCTCATCATCAGGTATATAACGTAGAACGAGGAGATTATATAGAATAGCTTGAAGAATACGAGATAGAAGTGCCTCCATCCTGCCTTCGAGAAAAGGTCGAGATAACGAGTCACGAACACCAAAGCATAGAGCATCTGCGTCAGAAGGGAGACACCTATTATGTAGAACAATGCTTAGCTCGCAGTACACTGCAATGATGCAAGTTATCATACGGACCTTCTGCACTCTTATTTCGATGGATAGCCCATATCAAGACACATTTGGAGGAGATATGGGAGAGATCGGCCAGTAGCCGGAAGATATTGAGGTTCAGCATGGTTGATATGGAGTATATATAAAGAGGAAGCTTGTTAAGCAGCTTTCACTGTGGAATCGCCCTGCAAACCACTTTCTAGAGTACCATCAAGATGATCTAGCAAGTTCGTGAGAGATGGTCGCCTCGATGGTCCTCGTGTGGACCGTGCTCCGTTAATCAACCCAGAGACCCGGTCGGGTAACGTAGGTTGGCGGCCACTGTATGACAATGCGGTCAATGCGAGAGATTGTGAGGTTGAAGACCAAGCACACTGGTCTTAAAGAGGCTGAAGATGCCACGACAAGAGCTGATGTAGCAGTGATAAGCGGTCTAATTGTCATGGACCTGCACTGGCCGCGTCGACCTGTGAGCTTCCGCCTTATCTGGTCTCAACCAAGGGAGAGCTCACCGTCACCGACGGGATCCACCTGCACCTGGGGGCCCCGTGCCGCGTGTACCTCACGTGACCATCGGCGTACAGTGGACGCTTGTGTCACTGCAGTTATCTCTCCTTGATGACGTCAGGACGCCCTATTCACCTTTTATATCCGTTCTATCAGAAGAGAAATGGTACAAGACATCGCTGATTTGGGTGAAGTAGTTCATGCTAGGTTCCTGTAGGCTTTGGTAGATTTGTCCAGCAAAACAGTAGACCATCTGGTAACATGATATCGAACAGGGCCGGGAAGCCTCAAAGCTGTCTAGACCTCCATAGCAATGCCTATCAACTGTCAAGAGTTTACCCCGCTTCTTCCATCCAAAAAATCTCCTGTAAACATTAATTGGAAGTAAATAAGCTAGGGAATACGAACCGAAGACTTTTTATCAACTTCAGGCCACTACAGACGCCTCCCTAACGTTTAGTCTGCCATCAACTGTGCCAATCCACTTAATGAAAGCTTGCCGTGAATACTGTGGGTTGGCGGGTAATTTAACCTCTATTCTCTTTTCGATGATGCGCTCCTTTCCATAGCTGTCTCGAAGCTGAAGGAATTGAGGCACATTCCTAGCGCCGTGGTGAATGGTCTCGACAGACCAGTGCGCCAGCCTGGTCACACCCAAACCGACACTGACGAGTAAATGTTGTTGCACCCATGTATATATAAATGCCTTCTCATCCAGGCAGCTAGCAGACCAATTATCGTGACTCTGGTGGTTGCTAATGTGGCAGCAGTATTTAGCTCGATGCCACTCCGTTCGCACGCTGCGTATGCTGTGCATAGGAGACGAAGAGCGGGGTAAAGGTGCCACCGCGTATGGAGTAGAACGCCGCGATTATCATGTCGGAAACTTCTGAGCTAATAGAATAGTTGACGGTCGGGGCTGGTGCTCTTTAGACAGTTCGATGACTTTATACTAGCAAGATTGAGCACCAAGGATGTGAAGAGCGTTAGAGAGCCGGCGCAAGCAAGGAAGGAAAGATCATGTGAATGGGGTGTATTGTCGAATCTGTCTCTTGAGAGTATCAGATTTTGGCACTCTTGACTTGGATACAAAAGCTAGGAAACCCCGAATGGTGTAATTGAGTGCTGGCTCTGTCCTTTCCTTGCTTTGTCGCCTAACTTCACAATTCAGCTCACATGAAACTCAGACGGACAACTGGCTATTCACTGGGATATATCAGTACCCGCCCTTGTGGGTTCTCCAGATCTAGTGAAAGACAAACTTTGTAAGGGACATGGAAATTTACGCACCAGTTTATGCTTCCAAGCTTCAAAGTGGTGACCCATGCTGGGAGAACATTCCTTGATTCTAGCTTGTAGGTGAAGTCACCTCATCTCATCCAAACTTCAGGAAAGGATACTGAAGCTAGTAAGAAAGACTGAGCAAAATATTGAGATAGCTGGATCAAAGATCGTTGATCGATCGTGTGAGGTATTGGTCGAATTCAGTTATGAGCAGTAGTCTGCCGCAAAACTTCGGCCTTATCTGGATCAGCGAGCTGAAATTCCGAACTCTCCTTTCCTGAGAGATGTCTATCTAGGAATTCTATCATTTTCTTCAATGACATCCAGCTATGGTCATGATCTTATCAAAGATGAAGAATGTGGCCCCCCGACTCACTTTGACATGTACTCCATAAGGAAGAAGTGACAGACTCAAAAGTTCTGCTATTGTGGTTATTTATATAAAGAAGCTGTGGGTGAAGGCTGTATACATATCCTATTAGTTAAAGCGAAGAGAGAGATAAAATCATTGGTTGGTTGCTTGACTGAGTGGATATGTATGGGATAAGCGGAGAAGACATGAGAGACTGAGGATCGGTTCACATCTATAGCTTTGAGGAAGTACTTGGCTTTAACGCAGAGTCTGTACTTAGACTCACTGTTTAATAGAGTTTCTCAGTGTTACTTCAAGGCGTATAATTAAGTATATTTTGTAGGCAGTTTGATATCAGTTAGAAAGAGATCAAAATGTAGTATATATTTCTGACAACTCGGGTGAACAGTAGCAGCCTAGTGCTGAGACAGGGTCTCTAGTCTTTCGGCCGGTAAGCCTACCGAACTGTAAACAGGGCATATTTTCTCTGTCGTCGAAGAATGCCTATCCCAGGGGATCGAAGCAAAAGCTAGTACCGAATTCATTGGAAAAGAGATTTGCAATCTGTTTGATTCCGGCGTAGGCACCTCGTTAGACCATTTCAAGCAAGAAGCGTTTGCTGGCATAAAGAAACTTGTAGCATGTCTCTGATACGCATCTTCGGCTAAAAATCACCTAAGTATAGATAAAGCTCTGTTCTCCAGATGGAGGTAACCGAAACCAAAGAAGATAAAGTTGAGCATGCGCCACATTGCCTTAATTCATGACCCACTTCTTTGTCTGGCTAGTTGAAGGGTAACCCTCTTCTAGAAAAGTTTTCTTGCGAGCGCTAATTGTAATATTAAGGCTACTACCTCGAATAGGCTCTTTCGCCGCCCAAGATAGGGCCATCGGAAAGCTTACCCCATCTCGAGATCTCAGAAGGGTTCTCAAATCTGAAAATGTCACTACGTCTTTCTATCCATGTAAGTCGCTCAAATACTCGAGGTGATATTGATACTCTAAGAACTATCCGCACTTAAACAATGACGAATTTGTACATACCTGCATTTGGCATAGGCCAATCATGCTGTGATCCACCACGTGTACGCCATCGCCATCAGTCATTTCAGTCTCGCAGCCTAGTTATTGCGTATTATATGCTAGAGCCACTCAGACAAGCTGATCCGGCTTAGGAGGTTGCATTGTTCGACTGCAAAGCGAATGTCGGTTCTATTTTCCTACCTTCAGCTGCATACGCCACTGCATTAGCAATCTGTTTTACATGGAACTCCAACTGGTACCAACGCAGTCATTGGAAACAGTGTTTTCCTGAAGTGGAAAACCATCGACAATTGGCCTGCAAGGTAATGGATAGCGAGAATGGCGGACAGGACAGTAAGCTCTGTCATCGGAACGATAGGCGCACCGGGGGGACCGTGCTCGGAACGGACTCACAGGGTCCCATAAAACGGTTCACGGGCCTATCTAGAACCTTTCAAACCAGCCTAGGAGGGTACAGATAAGGTGCTTGGGAACGGGCGAAGGATGAGGGAGAGAAGCTCGTTTCTAGGGGGCACAAGCAGCCTACCTGATAAGTTACCTGGAACGATACGAATTTGAAGAGAGACCGATCTTGCATCATGGGTCCCGCAAAGCCCTGCACTCGTCATATGAAGCGGGAAGAGTGGACTAGACTAAAAGCAACGGTCGATGGGGGAAGGAGGAGGTAGCGGTCCTTTACCCCGCTCTCATTGTCTCCCATCAGGCCATTTCATTGGGAGGAAAAGTGAACCTGGCACCCACATAAACAGCAAAGATCTGAATCCATGGTCCCTCGAGGTTTGCTTTTTACTTCATCTCTGGACTGCCAAGGCCCGAGATTGCAGCTGGCGACGTCCGTTTCATGTTGTTAGCTGCCTCGCGGTCATCGGGATGTCTAGGGCCCCTCATTGGCCTCGCCAACCTGCTTGGTTCTACTAAACACTGCAGCATCACCAGGTTGACCTGGTCAAGCTGTCCAAAGACGGCGGGTTCTATGGTCAGATTGCCGCCACCACCATCATCGCTGTTCGTTTTGTTCACGGAACGGGCATTCTTGCCTGGATCCGTGGCTGATCAAGTGTTGAAGCTGGCTTGTGAGATGGACGCCTAATGACTATGGAAAATCAACCTTGAGTCACCGGTCGGGAGAAATTGGGGAGACGGGAAAGCTCATCGTAGGTGTAAATACAAGGATAGGGGTATCGGTAGAAGGACGCTGGGGGGTCGTGTATCTCATCTGGCTGGCGTTGTGAGAACATGGGTGTGATGGCGGCGGTGATGTTGATTGAACCAAAGTGACGAGAGTATGTATCGCATTGACCCAGGAGGGGATGAGGGGAAGATAATCTAGATAATCGGCGGATGTCCTCGGCCTACGCAAAGGCGAAGAAGAAGTAGTAAATAGATGGAAGAAGCGAAACCACCGGGCCCATCCTTCCATTCAGGCAGCTTTCTTTTTTAGGAAAAGGACGGGCCTATCGTGGATGGTGTGCAGAAGTGGTCCATGTACGAGAGTCCACCGTCTCCAGTAGTTCCGGTGGGCAGGACGAGTAGGAAGCCGGAGGAGGTGGCAGGAGGAGATCTGATGCCTCGTCGCTGCTGAGGAGGAAAAAGCAAGCAGGTCTCGGAGGACGCGGGATTGGCGAGACGCTGCACTCCCTTTAGCCTTGGGGTGGATTCGAATCGAATTGTTCTGTCTGTTCCCCCTCCCCTCCGCAGTACTAGTCAGAAATGAAGAGAAGAGAAGGAAGGAAGAGGCTTTGCGAGTCTTGTCGGTTTTCCCATCCGCTTCTCTCTCTTCTTCCTTTTTCCCTCTTGTTCCTCTTTCCCGGATCCTATTCTCTCTTGCCACTCCCGAGGTTCCCTTAGTCTTGTACTATCATTATATTATCCATTTCCATTTGTTTTTAGTTACGGGAATTGGTAAACTGTAAAGCAGAACCCCAAGTATTACCTACGGTGGCTTTTCTGCCCTACTGGAGACCTTACTTGCCTACTACCTACTGACTGACTGACCGAGTGGTTGTTGCTCTGACTACGACCACCAGTTTTGATTATTTTATCAGACAATTCAATTCAGTCTACTTCCTTACTACTTCGCTATTACAACTTCTTCTTCTACTACTATTACCTGACTGAGGGACAGGTTGAATCCTCTTGAGCTGACCCTTACTGACCTTGACCTGCCAATTCGAACCTGATCTACTCCCTCCTACTTACTACTACTACTACTACAACGACGACCACCACCACTACTTCGCTACTACTTCGCTACGACTATTGCTACTACTACCACCGCCACTACCAGATCATCCTGCCTATCAGAAAAATCCCGAGACTCCTTTTCAAACCATGAACTTTGACCAGTAAGCCTCTCTTTACACTCTCAGTCGGTCTCCATCTCCACTTGTCCTGACCAGAACGTTTTATCATCGCATCTCCAGTACTCCGTACTATGTCCAGCCTCTGTATCCTAAGATGCTAGAAAGGTCTTCCTGTGATTGTGCCTAAGCCTGTTTATACTTACTATCTTTTCCTCTCTCCTTGCCCCTCCCCCCCTTTCCCCTCCCCTCACTCGTCACTGCCCTCCTCATCGCCCATTCACCTGAGTTGCCTCACTCCAACTCCCCCTCCCTCCCTCACTCCCTCCCTCCCTCCCTCTCTTGTCCTTTGACTTTCCCTCGCTACCATTCCGACTTCATATATGCATGTAACAATCCTTCCGACTTTTTCCTTCTTTTCCCGTCATCTACCTCATTCCCTGCGGCGCTACTGCCACGCCGTATGATGCGCCGGTGTCATCGTCACTTTGGTGTAACCAAGCGCTCGCTTCCCTGAACCTGACCGGCCAATCTCCACGGAGCGTTCCTTGAGTAGCAGATTTGCTAATCTCATAAGCATGTGTATCTACAGATGAATCGACAGAACGTGATTGGGATAACTGCGTATCATCAGCCATGTCGTAAGTCCCTCCTCGTCCTCCCCAGCCTGAAGGTGAAGCTGGCCTCTGGGACTGCGCAGCGTCGGTGGCAGCTGTCCTTCCATATATACTTGATTTTGAGATACCTCACACCCACCCCCTCGGGTCATGTGCTTCACTTGGAGTGTTTCTCTTGTAATTTATCTACTATGTGTTTGTATCTGTTCCCGCTTTCGGCTAATTCACTGTCCTGTCCGTTTCCCTCGACTTGAAATTGACAAAGTGACTGGCTCGTTCTATTATTATTGCGATTATCGTTCTGGCCTTGCATTCACTTCTTCTTTATCTCCTCCTTCCTTTTTCTAAAAAAAAAAAATCATTTTTCTCGTGTCGTGGGCTCATCTCTGACACCGGCGCCTTTCGCCTGTCCCTCTACTACAGGTCCCCTCCAACATCTAAGCGAATCAAGACTTCCATCTCTGCCAACGCACCATCACACCTGATCGCTCAACAGCAAGTCAATCCCTTTTCAAGAGTGCCTTCGTTCGAGGGCATTCCTATGCCCCAAACTCAGATTCCTCCCCAGAATCCGCGCAAACGCCGTGCTTCCTCCCAGTCAGGCCCTGCGGCTACCATGGCGGCGCCAGGCACGGCTCCGGCGACGGGAGAAACTGCGCACGAGCAAGGACCTGGAGGATCGGAGCCTGCCCCTAAGAAGAAGGGGAGGACCAACACTCCGTGGACTGCTGAGGAAGAGCAGAGGCTGAAGACCATGCGCGACGCGGGTCGCACCTGGAGTGAGATTGCCAAGGTGGATAAAGCTCCCCTGCTTCAGTACCCTCCACTACGTCACGCATGCTGACCTGAATTTCCCGGGTGCTATAGACATTCCCTGCCCGGACCGAAGGCAGCGTCAAGAAACATTGGTACAAAGTAAGCAGATTCTTATTTCTCTGTACGGAAGACTGGATGTAGATACTTATGCCACGATAGGACATGCACTATGCCGAATTTGCTGAAGACGAGGTAACGACCCTTCACGTACGACTTTGTTTGTCAAGCGATGCTAAACCAAGGACAGTCCGTAGCACTTCGGGAAGCGATTAGGGAATACGATGCAAATAAATGGAAGGCGATTGGACTGAAAGTCGGAAAGCCAGCCAAGGTAAGATTTCCGGGCTCTGTAGATGCCTTGCTGGATCGTTGACATGGGTGATTTAGGCGTGCGAACAATATGCGAAAGAACATTTCAAGGACCTTTAGATTTCCTACGAACTCTTGACGACGTGATGACCAATGCATCGTCTTCCGCACATGTAACGGATCGACGATGGGCATGAGTTTTGGATTCACATTGCTTCAGGCTGAAGATGTCAGCGCAATGTTCGATGTTAGCCACAATTTGCAAAGTATCGGGCGAAGGGTTATCGGAGTTGGCTTGCGTCTTTCATTTCATTTTCTGCTGGTCCCGTCTGGTCGACTATTTCCCACTTCTTCCTTTCTTACAAGCGTCATTTCTGGTTATTTCGTCTTGTTCCTTGTCCCCTCATATCCTGGGTGAATACCACTGTTCGTTTCGCGTAACTCCCTGACGGGTCTTCGCAGCAGCTTTTCGCCGCGGGCGCAGTGCACCCTGGGCCTCAATCCTGTCGCGCACCCAACAACACTTTGAAGCTTGTTGTAAGGTTTTCAATCTTTCTATAGAAGGAAACATAGTAGACGCTTACTCTCGGTGTCCCAGCATGTAGTGGTCACACCAATTTGAGTTGTTGCTGAAGTTGGACTTAATATTCTGCAGCTAGACGAGGTAGTCAGCATTATATGCTACTAGTTGCTAGTTCCCCAAAATTAGCCGACACAAGCCGATCAGGGCGGGTGGGAGTAGTTGTGGGATAGATAGTAATTACTATATCCGAAGTCGGGGAAGATGAAAAGCGGAGGAGATCCGCCCGCCTGGAAAACCGAATCTCCCCGCGGCAGATTACGATTTTATCGCCTCAGAGTGGAATCTTCTACCCGCTCCACTTACACTCGCCGGAACTGCAATCGTTCCATCTTACTGTCAGATTACTGGCTAGCATTCTGCACGACTGCGACTGGTGTGGGATTTCTGCATAGCATTGATTAAAATTGGTAAATCCCTTTCGGAGAGAAGGAATAATGAGATTCATTACGATCTCTCAAGAAACTGTCAGAAGAAGTTTGACTGACGTGCGATTGGCGTATGTGTTCCACCAGGTGTAATCGCCACGACGAATCCAGTGCAATCGCAACAAGTACAGCTCTCCCGCCTTCCTACAGAAACCTTATGCAAGGGACGGCTATCATGAAGACGAGTAGCGTGGTTTTGTCTGTCGATCAAGGTATCTAGGTAGCGTGCCTGCATGAAGACCGGTGTTCAACAACTGGATGTCACACACACTATCCGGGCTGATATCTGGAGGGGTTGCTTAACTCGCCGGATACTGTGATGGCTCCCGCTTGTTGATCTGAGATTATACGGTTGAACTTGATCTGGATAATTCCAGCGAAAGGACTCATGCGCGCTTTTCTTCTCTTTATACCCCACCTCTTCTCCGGTTATGTAACTGACATTGTGCGTCAGGATGTCTTCGCCGCAAACTGTCCCCACCCTAGGGTCTCCCTATGAGAAGGAAATCTCAAGAATCCGTTCGACAGAAGATACTTCTCCTCCTACCGCAAATGTCGAGAAAAAAGCCCAGAGGCAGCCGGGGGGGCCGTTTGCCTCTTCGAGAATGGCTGCATATCTTAGACGATTCGAACAGCAGCTCGTCGAATATAACCTGGAAGCTCGTGGTATAGAGCGGGTGCAGGAGCATGAACGGATGTCCAAGTTGACTTGGGTTTCTTACCTGCAGGCTTTCTTGCTTTGGGTCTCGATCAATCTGGCGGCCAACAACATCACACTGGGTATGCTGGGACCTGCTACGTATGGACTGAGTTTCCTTGACTCGGCTCTATGCGGAGTATTCGGTGCTCTGGTCGGTGCCATCGTGTCTTCGTGGATGGCCACATGGGGCCCTATATCGGGTATTCGGACCATGGTATGCTTTCACACTCTCTCTTGAAAGAACGTTGGCTAAGCACTATAATCTTAGGCATTCGGACGCTATTCAATGGGTTGGTGGCCCAGCAAACTCATCGTCATCTTGAACCTGATTCAAATGCTGGGATATGGCTTGATCGACTGCGTGGTTGGCGGACAGATCTTGTCCGCCGTTTCACCGCATGGAAACATGACGGTTGCTGTGGGTAAGTTGGTAGTGCTTCAAGCTATTGTTGTATAGTTATTGACGGTATGAAGGCATCGTGATCATCGCCATCATCAGTTGGGTCATCGCCACTTTCGGCATTCAGATATTCCATTACTACGAGCGGTATGTATGACCGATCAGGGTTGTAAATCTCTGCGACTGACGGAACCAGATTTGCTTTTCTCCCCCAGCTTATTGTTGTTTGCATACTGTTCGGCATGTCTGGGACGAAGTACGACTTGTCCACGCCATCAACTGGCGACGCTCGCACAGTGGCCGGCAACCGGTAAGTCCACTTCAAACCTTTGAATAATTCCATGCTTACATGCCACACTCGCAGTCTATCCTTCTTCTCGCTTTGTCTCAGTGCTGCAATTACATATGCACCGCTGGCAGCGGACTTTTTCGTCTATTATCCCCAGAATACCTCGAGGACATCTCTCTTTTTCCTCTCTTTGGGCGGCCTGATGATCTCTTTCACCATGGCTTTCCTCGTCGGCATCGGTCTCGCATCGGGCATCACCTCCGACCCAGCATACAGCAGCGCATACGCTGACGGTGCCGGAGCACTTATTGTCGAAGGGTTCAGCCCCCTAAACGGATTCGGCAAGTTTTGCGCCGTTGTCGTTGCCCTTGGTCTCATCGCCAACACCATCCCACCCACGTACTCAGCTGGCGTAGATTTCCAGATCCTCGGACGATATGCCGAAAAGGTGCCCAGAGCCATCTGGAACGCCATCGGAGTAATCATCTACACCGTGTGCGCTCTAGCAGGCCGAAGCAATCTCTCCGACATCTTCACCAACTTCCTCGCGCTCATGGGTTACTGGGTCGCCATCTGGATAGCCATCATTTTAGAAGACCGCTTTATCTTCCGCGCCCGCAGCGGATACAACTGGCACGCCTGGAACGACCCATCCAAGCTGCCCTTGGGCATTTCCGCTTTCATCGCCTTCTTGATCGGTTGGGCAGGTGCAATCCTATGCATGGCGCAGGTGTGGTATATCGGGCCTTTGGCGCGATTGGTGGGTGAATATGGCGCGGATGTAAGCAGGACCTGATGACAAACACATTTTTTTTTCTGCTTCACATACTAATTACTATATATAGATGGGCACCTACGTTGCTTTTTCGTGGACATGTGTGGTCTATCCGCCTCTTCGATATGCCGAACTTCGTTACTTCGGACGGTGAACTGGCAGTAATTCCATTTGGCTTCTGAGAAAGAGCACAAACTATTCAATTCAACATTGCAAAAATGCTCTACAAATAGGTCATTGGCCTTGTAGGGCATACCCAAAACTGATCATGTACTATACTATATCATAGTACAATGTCCGAGTGACAGACATTGTCATCGTCACTCAATCTAAAAAGTAATGTACACCAGATTGCACAAGTACTACTAAAAATGCATTTCATCGTCACTATCCTCTTCAACCTGACAGTAGCTACCAAATCATCCAAGGGAACACTACCCAATATCTTCAATTCAATTACTAAATTAAACCCCCCCAAAAAAGACCAACTAGTACATACTACAACGTAAGCAGTACGTAGCACCTCCATTCCCCATCATACTACCTACTACTTCACACCACCTACGGGCAGGCTTACTTTTCCCTCCTACCTATTTAGGCAAGTAAAAGAATCCCTCGAGGAGCTAGTAGTTTTTACTTACCACGTGAGACGGCTAATATTTCCCTTCCTTCTTTCCGTTAGTTTCCGCTGTTCCGGACATCATGCCACCCGCGCGTAACTAAGTAATCGCTTGATCAGCTCACTTGCACGTACCGCACTAAATAGTTAGGTAGCTAGGTACTCTAGGTTCAGGGTTGTATGGTCTTTTTCAAGCCATGAGTAATTACTTGCTAGTATGTACTTGTTTCGTGAGATTGCTCACTAGTAGTAGCGGTGTTTCATGTTATGGTAGTGCTAGGAGTACTTTAGTGGGTTGATAGAATATAAAATCATAGTATACGTCCAATTGAAGTGTTGTATCGTTCGGTTTGGGGGTGATATAAGTCTTGCTGGTAGATCTACAGTGTATCAGACAAGAGTATCTAGGAAAAAGGAAAGGAATTGGCAAAAGTATACAACAATACTGGTTTCAAACGATACACACACACACACAACACACAACTAATAGTTCATCCCGATGAAATCTTGTACAGAAAGCCGGCGCCCCCCATATATCTCTCTCTTTTGTGACTTGTCATGCCAGAACAACCCCTGCCTCGCGCATGTACACATACAGATTATATGTCGGATTGTCTCTTCTCTCTAATATCTCGCTTCACTCCATTGTTTCTCTTTGCTCCGGATCGAAGAAATAGCACCTAAGTAGGGAAGGGGGAAAAAAGAAAAAGGACAATCGCTCCATTCATTGTAGTAGTACATTGTATTTACCGGTACCAGTACTCAGGCTTGACGAAGTCGGCGAAGGTCTTGGGCTCCTCGTGAGGGGGGTGGCCGTGACCGTGGCCGTGGTCGTCTGGATAGGGAGCAATTAGTACATTGCACACACTGAATGATGGCCACCAAATGGGCCAGAATTGATGGAAAGTCACTTACGAGCGTGGGGGTCCTCCAAGGGGCCGACGTAGTTGAGCTTGACAACGTTACCGCACTCGCCGCAGCGCTCGATGGGGCGGTCACGGGAGACCTGTATTGTGGCTTGATTAGGGATCATGCTATCACAGGAGATAAACAGCACGGAAGAAATCGGCTTACAGTCAACCAGTTGACCTGGTGAGAGTCGGCGGGGAAACCAGTGCAACCAGCGTACTGCTCGTCACCAGCACCGTTGACGATGATGGGGTCCTCAAGGGTTCCTATAGAGAGTTATATCAGCGCCCACCCTCGCAAAATCACCTATCCAAGGCTCCAGAAGCCACCGCAAAAGTGGAAATAGTGTATGACATACCCTTGCGGGAGGCATCGAGGGGACGCATGTCGAAGATGTCAATGCCCTGCATCTTTCCGACGAGTTCGAGACGCTCGAGACCAGTGGCGTGCTCGATATCGACGGGAACGGTACCGGCCTTAGCACCCGGGGGGATGAGGTCGTCCTCGGTCTTGATCTCTGTTCAGGAAGAAAGCGCACAATCAGTATGATGTCAACCACGTATGGGGGCATCGAGAAGATGCAAGTAGCCGGCTATCAAATGTCCCAGTGCCCGAAACCCCGCATAAGATGCCCAATTGCAACCTCACTCGCAGTACAAGTCGCAATTGTTATCTTGCAAGTGTATCCGTAGGGACAATTGACGCTTCGTGTAGGGGTGGGTGTTATGCCAACTCACCATCGAAGGGAAGGATCTTGCCCTCCTGCTTCACCTCATACTTCTTGGCGTTGACTATAGGAGCAGCAATGGCATGTTAGCTCGCATATCCAGAACCGACGTCTGAATTCCCGTGCAATTGGCCCATATAGAGACCATGGGAGCGCGGTAGAAAAGGGACGGCTGCCACTGCTGCGGTGCAGAAGAGGCGGTCTTTTGATCCGACGATGAGGGTCACGTACAGCGGGTGACGGAGGAAGAAAAGGGACGGGCAGCGAGAGCCCGGGTAGGGGTGCGCCTGGCGAGGGCGAAGGCTGTGCGTTGGAGGAACATTGTCCTGGTGGGTGGGTTGCAATGACGGCAGACAAGGCAAGGACGTTTGGAGATGAGGGAGTTTGGAGGTTGAGGTGAGTTTGAAGCCGCTTCGGCCCGTGGTCGCCTGCCCTTAGTCAGCGCCGGGGATTGATTGGTTGCGGAGCTTCTACGGCTGCCCGCAATGACCTGGTCTGCATACTTGCTCGATTGGGCATCCGGCTTAGGGCTTAGGGTCTACTGTCTGCGCAAGTGGTTTTCTGCGGTCTGCCGTAGATGAAGAACACATGCCCCCGGCCGAGCAATGGCCGCGTTCAGCCCGGGATCAGCCGGTGCTAAAGTGCGAGAGCGGACGCTAGTGTCGGTTCATTGCGAACGAACAAATGCCGGCGCCATATGTTCCCCGGGCTAAATTGAATTATCATACATCACTAAATACCTTACATCAACCGTCCCTATAGTATATCAGAGTTATGCTGATCATCCTCCCGTGCCTACAACAGGCCCGCACCACCAGCCCTATCGGAAACCCGACATTTGAACCAAAATGGAGAATAGAGAGATCAGAGGGTCCAAGTAAGGTCGAATCTGGCGACAGTAGATATAAATGAGAAATACCCCAAGCCTTTACTGGAGTTGCATAGCCTTCTCGCGACAAGCAGCTGGGGTGAAGCCATTTCCAACCTTCCCTGCAATGATACGCCACCGATCGTTCTCGTATTCGTGCATTGCCCGTTGCAGCCTTTGTACCTATTCCCTTCATTAGCATGTGAGAAAGACGTAGAAATGCACCAGGGAAATTCGAACCATTTCGTCACTCCAAGCCACATCCTTGGCCTTCAGCTTGGTGCAGTATCGGACTTGCAAGGTGCCGCTCGTTCGGCCCGGGAAGAAGTCTGCAATTTGCTTCCATGTCAGGTTTTTGTTTTCCTTCAGCTCCACTAGTAGAGCGTCTTCTTCGGGAGTAAACTTCAGTTTTGGACCTCGGGGCCTGGGAGCTGGATCCGGCATTCCAGGCTGGCCCACCACACTCGGCGGACCCGAGGGCAAAGGAGGCGATTCCACATTCACTCCATGACGCCCCGGGGCGCGCAGCGCTGCATGGGGCGGGAGTCGATGGTGATGGTGATGTTGCGGCAGGGCCACAGAGTCCGTGGGTCCGAATCCATGGTTTGACATGGGATGCTGCTGAGATGATGTGCCATGGACACCGAAGAGCATCTCGGGAGAATGCGAGGGTTCGTGAGGGGCATCGGCTGAGAGGACTGATAGCTGTGGCCGCAGGCCATGGTCGGGGTTCCCATCCTCTTCGGTCTCCGAATGAGGGCGTTTCTTCTCGCGCTGAATAGGCGGGATTTCGAAGCTGGCAGGTGGATACTGCACTGGAAGGTGTCGTGGGAGCATTTGGGGCGGGCCAAGGACAACGCTTTGCGAGATATCATGGACTGTTTGTTGCGGAGTGGCTGTTGACAACACGGTCGCGTTCGCATGATGTTGCTCAAATGCCGTCGTGCTATGAGAGGCCCCCTGAGAGAATGGAGGCTCGGACTGCTTGTGATGCTGGAGATGCGGCTGCTGTGCGTGGTAAACAAGCGTGCCTGCGTGTTCCTCAGGTTTGCAGGTAGCATGTTGAGAATAATCAATAGCATACTCTCGATACGGATCCGCCAGCGTCGCGGACATACATCTGCGCCGCTAGAGCCTAACAGCCCTGGCAGGCTACTGACTGGCTCTAGAAAAAAAAAAGTAAAGAAGGGGGAGAAAAGGAAGGAGGTCGAAGATGCTATCTCGACGGAAAAGGCCGTCACGAGATAGGCTGGCTGACTGTCGGAGTTCGTCCGATGAAGCGAAGAGTGACAGATCGTGAAATCCTCTGGGTCGAAGCAAGGATCAAAGCTTTGGCCATGTACAAACCGAACTTCTGAAGCCTGGAAGATTGGGATATGGACCGTTGGCTTTCAGAGCGTGAGGCGCGATACTATCTGGTCGTCAGAATTATAGGTCATGGATTGAATGACTCGCCAGCAACGTCAAGACACAACGATCGCTCATCCCAAGGTGCAGAAAGGAAGAGAGTAGCGAAGTCAGGTCGCAGGACATCGAACACATTTGAAAAACAACGGCAGAGAGAACGGAGAGAAGAAACAGAGGAGGAGAGTGAAAGAGGAAGCTAGAGGCGACACAGGGTCTGGCCACCAAGGGAAAGGGAAAGAGTCACTGGGCGAAAGGGATGGATAGATGGCTTACTAGTACTACTCACCGGGTCAGTGATGAGCGCGCCAGCTGGGAAGTCCCGAAAAAGACCGGTAATCTTCACCAGAGTCCAGACGCACCGACAAGAGGCCCGGCCCAACCAAATCTACTGAGAGAAGTTGGTGGTCTAATTCTCATGCCAGAAACTCCGCAGATAGGCTTGCAGCCCGTATCCCTCCGTCGTTTGAGATGCAGGATCTAACGGGGAAGAACAAGTGGAGGTTGATGCCGGGATGCTGCTTCCAGCTGCATGTAAAAGTCCCGTGCAGAGCAGTGATAGGGTAAGTGTTAGAGGATATATACGGCAGCGTAGACGGCCGATGAAAGGTTCTGGAAAGGGCAAATCATAATAAATAAGCTGTCAGAATCCATGGGGTAAAATTGACGAGACACGGAGACACTCCATATAACCCAAATCAGAAAGGTGCAGGTGGGCTGGCAGAAGAAATCGCCCATTTGACGGATCTGCGTTCCAGTCAAGCTTAGCTTGCAGAGGGACCCAGAGGGGACAACGGTCATGGATGCCAGCAGGACGAAGGATGAGGCTACCATTTGCCTTCCGCCGGCCCGTCTGGTGATTGCCAAGGCATGGCAGTGACTGCCGTAGAGGAGGAAATTAGGGCAGTAGTCGGGAGATACTGTGTACAAGTTTGAAACACGGCGAACCAGCCAAAGCTCAGGTAGACAAAGAGTCGCCCTCCATTCATCAATCAATCCATCACACTCTCTCTCTCCTCTTTCTGCCCCTCTCCCTTCCTTCGGGGCTCTACCGTCTCCAGCCCCGAGCAAACGCAGAAGCGGGGGGGAGATCCAAGCCCAAACCCATACGTAGGCCAGGCATAATCTGAAGTTAACTTATTGGATACGAACGTGAATGAGACGAGCGAGTCGGTGGACTCGGGTCAAGGGAGTCAAACCTGTTGTGCTGGTCTGCTCCTAACTCGCTCAGGAATTCGCCCCCTGTCAGAACAAGGACCGTCGTACGTCGACGCAGCAACTCCACTCAGCGAATACGCCAATGGCGGGTAGAGAACGGTCGTCGGCGAGACATCCACCTGGAAAAGGTGATTGGAATGACTAGCGGGAGGGTGCTAGCTTGCTCGGAGGTGGGCCATCAGGCTAAGCAGGGAGTTCCGGCCGAGCCTTTGTTTCTCGAGAGGGAAATGGAGTAACGACCCTGGTCTGGATAGTGTATATAAAAATCCCGTAGCCTGGAACGGGCGCGGGAAGCCAAGCCAACACAACACCAGTGAGGGAGTCAAGAAAGAAAGCGCGCGCGCGCGCACATCACGACTCCTCAATCACGCATGAACGATGTGCGGTGACTCCCATCGACTAAGAATACGACTCTATCGCGTAGGAGGAGAAAAAAAAATGATCGCGGGTCAGGCTCGAGCCTAAACCGTACCCACGTCTAGGTTCCCCTTTTTTGCCTGGCCTCACTTTTTTTTTTCTTGTACTTAATTTTATGTTATTTTCTTTTTCGTTCTTTTTGGGTCTCCGGCCCCCTTGGGTTGTGAGGCCAAACGAAGCTGGACTGGAAAGCCATGTCCCTTGTCAAAGGGGAGCAAGTTTGACCCTTCTGATGAGAGCAGGAGCCTTTCTGTCAACCTTATTTGCTCTTGATTCTAGGTCACCCTCGTGGACACAAGCCCCCGAGAACGGTCGGAGGCCGGGAGCTTAGCGCGTGGGTAAAATATGTGAGAGGTGGGTTGCCATGAATGTGTCTAATGTTTTAGTTCATTTTTATTTTCTTTATTTCCTTTTTTATGATATGATAGGCCGTGGGCGGGTGAGAGTAGTAGCAGTAGCTCGAGCTGTTTGTTGTTAAGGTGTAAGAGAGAGGCCCCGAGAGCCACCACCGTGTCATAGCGGTTGAGATGGAGAGAAGGCTACTCCATAGAGTGAGTTACGATTTAAGCATCCGGCTGATTCCTGATTATTGTCCCTGCTCGATCAATGAGCATCAACGGATGATAGATCATGGACACAGGCAGGAAGACAATAAGGGAAAATAATAAAATAAACCAACAAATAAAAAGAAAAAGGGAAAAACGGGCTGGGGGAGCTTATACTTTGTACACAACACGTAAGACCCCTCTCAGACTTCAGACTGAATATCGCCTTAACCTGTAGGGGTAGTAGTCTCAAGTAGGCGTGTACTCCGTACTCCGGACAGGATTGGCGTCGAGGTGGATCCCCCGTAAGCCCATCCATCGTATCTTGCAGTTGCAGGGCGAGTTCTTCCGATGGGTCTCTGCAATTTGACTTTCGTCCCGAGATTTCAGGCCATGAGGCACTGGTGAAACAGTCGAGTTTGATCACATTGCATCAAACCACCGAAATAAAATGAGCCCAACGCGAATGTCTTAGACGCCCCGACTAGCTGGCTGGATGAGTGCTTGGGCCAGACCGTTGGAAATGTACATCGGATCCAGCCGGAAGGGATGGTGCGGAGGAGGAAAAGTGAAGCAGGGGGGAAGTGAGAGGCGTTTTTAGTTAGCAGCCGTGCACGGCACAGAAGAGGGAGAGGGAGAAAACGAGAACGTGAGAGGGAAAGTGTTCAGTAGGACTAAGTAGGGTGGGGTGGGTTCAGACGGGCGAAAAAGAGGGAGAAGGAGCGAGAGGGAGAGGAAGAGTAGTAAGTAGGTGAGTGAGTGAGTGAGTGTGAGGGAGAGACAAGAATCAGGAGCACCCCCTCCTTCGTACTCCGTCTTTTTGCTCGGTCAAGTTCCATCAAGACACAAACACTGATCTTCCCACCCCGGCTTGAGAGAATAAAAAATACACACGTCAACTAACCCCCTCACCAAACTAGTCTATTGATATTAAGCATATTCCGGTCTAAAATTTATAGTAATTTTTTTTATTAGTATTACTAGACCGTTAATAACGATTAACCTACCCGGCCCAAAGTGGACTCACACATGGTCCATATTGATTGACAGTCTCCTCCGGCCCTCTTTAGCTCTGCTGCCCACCCACATGGTCGATCCCCTAAACTCCTAAAGCCCGGAATTGTATTATAGCTGCCTGTTGGATCTCCATATTGACCCCTCTACTCTACCTACAGTATACATGAGAACATCTACAAACCGATGACCACTTTAGGTAATTAACTTCTTAAACATACATCGCTACCTACATGTCTACTGTACATAGCGCAGCCATTTTTGCCCCATCCCCGCCACCGGATCTCCACTTCCGTTGGGCTTCTTCATCCCTCACTTGCTGCCAAGCATCGATATCAAAAAATGTAACCATAGTAAGACACATGAGAGGATTTTGTATACTGCGAACATCAAAAGAAAAGAAAACTTCGAGAGGGGAAAAAGACATGGCTTGAAGATATGGGAAATAATGTCAAAACAACGTAATCGTCCATATAAAAGGAAAAAGGAAAATAGTATCATGCAAACGCCATCCACACATCGCTCACGCAAAGTTATCAGAACGGTCAACCCATATATCTTCCAGTTCCGCAAAGTTCTGGAAGTGCAATGGACGATGTTGTTCATCGTAGAATCTCAGAGGGGTGTCGATCTTCACGTACACCGGCCGCTTCTCCACTCCGCCGAAGGAGCTGCCCATGAAGCTGTAGTTCCAGACGTTGTCTTCCGGAACCAGGAAGTATCCGCGGATCTTGTCACTGAGCAACAGCTGGCACTTCTCTCCCATGCTGGTCGAGAATCCTTGCGGTTGATCAGACGTGGTATCACGATTCTCTGCTCCCCATTTGTAGCCTTGGGGCGTGAGACCCCAGGCCGCAAGTGACACGGATCCAGGGGTGAAAGACACTGTCATGGTAACCGTCTTCTTATCCCAGGAGGAGTGGGCGTTCATCAAACGAGCATGCTGTGTAACATCCATGGCCGACATGTAAGGGGGCTCGTTTCCAGAGATGGTGTGGATAACACCCAGAGGTTCGAGGTTGTTGAGATAATCGTGCTGGGGCAGCTGCTGTGGCAACTGCACCTCACGCGTATTGCCCACCTGGGGGATCATGACAATGGTGCGGATTTCCTTCACCTGGTCGTTATCAGGAGGGGAGGTACCGTACAGGTATCCGGCAACTTGCACACGGAGATCTGCAATCGTGATGAAGCGCTTGAGGACGTTCTTCGGCATGATGTAGGTGTATCCCTCCTCCCGGACGTCATCCGACGAGATGTAGATGTTGTTAGACCTCGTACGAAGGTTGGACGTTGCGATTGCCCGTGTGCGCCACTCAGTCTTGGAAGCAAACGATTGCTGCTCGTACTGAGACGTGGTAGTGACGATGATATCCTCGCCACGGACGTTCTGTGTCTTCGTCGTAACAGCCGTGAGCTGCTTCTGCTCTTCCTGCTGCTTCTCGATCTCCGCGGCCTGCTGACGTTGAAGTGAAGGAGCACTGATCTCCATACCGAGGATGATATCCCGAACTTCACTACTCGTCAGACTCTGAACGTTGACATTGTTCTTCTTGCCGTAGTCGTTCAGAATCAAGTCACGCAATTGCACTTCAACCTTCATCCAATCCTCATCCGACAATGAAGGCCAGATATGATGCTCTTGGGTTATGACACTCTTGTCAGGTCTGAGGATAATCTTCGCCTTATCGATGTTGACGTGGAGAGCTCTCAGAATGAGAATCAAACGAGAGAAGGCAATGTAAGGTGAGATTGATTTCAGCCACTCATCGTAAAGGTTGAAGAGAACCATCTGAGGCTCCGTTGCCCGGAGAATCATATCCGCAAGCTTCTCAACCTTCATCGCGGCCTGGAAAGGAAGCTGAAGCTCGGAAGCTCGGATGGAAATGTTAGGGAAGTCAAGCAGGTGGACTTCCAAAGGATCCAACAGACCCTTACGGGTGACAATCAGCTGCTTCGGCTGCTCCTCTACAGGTAAGGATCGGATGAGAGCCGCCACTTCTTCTGCTGTCTTCCACTTGGCCAATTGACCCAGACGCTTCTGTCCAGCCCAGACACTAGTGTGAATGATCTTCAAGAACAGCTGTCCGGTTCTGGGATTGAAGATAAAGATAGCACCGTTGATGGGCTTGGTCGTCAAATTACCTTCGAAGGTCTTGTGGATGGTGACACGGTAGACATTGGTATCGTCAATGAACAGCTGGATCTGAGGGCTGAAGAGCTCCGAATAGTTCTGGGAGTTCAGGAACTCCTGGTTGCTTTCCGAAGCATAGAGCTGCAGACCCTTCCTGATACGTTCTCTCAAGACATACAAGGCAGGGTTCGCCTTCATGATCTTGGCCATAGCCTGCTGGATCAGGGTCTTCAGACCAGGGAAGTACTGACCATATGCCGAGTACAGGTTGTACGCGAGATCAATGCCAATCATCAAACCGGTAGCCGAAGGATAGATACTCATGCTGTCGGTGGTGTAGTCGAGATACTTGGCACGAACATATCTCTCGATGTCGTGGGAGTCATAATCACCATATCTCAACTGCACGTCAAGCCAGAACTTGTTTGTCGTGGTTGGCTCATAAACGTCCTTGGTATCGAAGAGCAAGGAAGGACGCGTGACGTTCCACTTGTTCGTTGCGAAAAGCAAAATGTCGGCGCAAGAGCTGTTCATCTTGTAAGACTTACGAGGATGGATAGTCTCCTTCTGGACTGTCTCGATACCCAGCTGCTGAAGCTCCTGATCGAAGACTTGGCACAGATCCATAACGACGGACTCGTGAATCTTCTGCCACAAGTGGGCACGGAAGATCTGAATCAACGAAATCTTCAAGGTCGGGATTTTACCGTGTAAGAAAATACCGGTAAGATCCAGCTGGACTTGGAAACCAACGTATACATTGGCACGGTTGATGGTAGGAGACCACCACAAAGTGAACCGACGGTTCGGGATCTGATTCAAACCGGATCTTTGGGCATTCGTAAGCTTCTTAAATTTCATCGATTCCTCGAAACCACTCGCTCTTTCCCAAAAGAGACCTTCCCATGATGGGAAGGCAGTTGCCTTAAAGAGGGTGTGCTCAAGAATGGTTTCGACACCACCAAGGGCCTGGATGACGTCGGTACGGTAAGCGTTCAAGTTCCACAGCTTTCCGTCATGCCTCTGACTAGTCCACCAGAACGGGTTGCTCTTCATCAGCTGGTATTGCTTGAATTCGGCGCGAAGACGGAAACCCTTGTCGAAGCTGAGCGTACTGCGATCCTTCTGGAACAGGGTGTTGATACGCGGCAGACCACGGTCCCAGCTGTCCTCCAAGTCCTCCAACGTCAAGCGGCGGTTCTGCTGCTGAGCCTCCTGCCGCTTCTGCGAATACTCCATCCACACTCTCTGAGAGTCAATGAACTCGGCTTCCCAGGGGATGATGTACCGGAAGATGTTCGGGATCAGGGTCTCTTCGTCATGTGACATACCCGCACGGAAGTGGGTGATGCCGGTATCCGTTTGCTTGGACCACCGCTTGTCGCTAGCCGGAATGAGAATGTGGGATCCAGAGATCATACCCAGACCTCCTAGTTCCTTGGGGGTGTAGAAAACGGCGGGAGGGAAACGCGAAGGCATCTTGGAGTTCAGACCAATCTTGACACGGGTCTGGATCTTGGTTTCGCACTTGACGATCGTATCCAGAAGGTTGACAGTGGATACAGCAGCTTCACGGTAGTAGGTGAAGAGTGCGATCAAAGCCGTGTTCCACTTGTTTGCGATCTTAGTGAAAGTCGTCGAACCGGACGACATGAGAATCTGACGAATCCGGTTGTTGAACTTCTGGATATCCTCCTCCGTGACCTGGAGGAAAGCATGAGCTGTGCGCTCCTTAGTCGAGTTATCGACCAGAGACCAAACGCTGTCCTTCACCGAGAACTCCTCATTTTGGTTGCGGCACTTAGGAAGAATGCGGACTTCGAATCCGGACATAGAGAACAGAAGGTTCGGGTTATCCTTGCTGTAGACACTGGCGAAAGTGTCATCCCATTCGATGGTAGTGATTGACCTGGGCAGGCGGTTCTTCAGATCCCAGAATACAGCGCGACCCAAGTTGACATCATGACGCATCAAACGCATGCGGCAATCACGCGGCCAACACTTCTTGTTCTTGTACCCGATGACATTTTCGAAGTTGGGATCGGGGTTCTCAGTCAAGAAGCGCTGAATCAAGTCTCGAGACTCATCGGCAGAAAATCGAAGGAAGACCCAGATCTTGTCGACGTAACGTGTGTACAGACGAATAGGATGCTTCGTCTCAGTAGCACGGTCTCTGAACTGCAGGAAGTCGTTGGGGCTTGCAGGGGGCCCAGCCATTTCACTAGCTCTCTGCAGACCGAGGAGCAGCAAATCGATCATCAGGCCATAGTACTGGAAAACGAAGCCGGAGAACTGCAGACCGCGAATCAAACCGTAGCTGTTGGTATGATTCATGTCCTTGTAGCTGAGCTGCACGTTGTTCTTGGAAGTGATGTAGTCAGCCAAGTTGTGGTCCATGATAAGGCGAAGCATGCGGTTCAACAAAGTAAGATCCATCTTCTCATAGACCTTGGACAGCTCGGTCTCGATCATAACGTTCGTCTCGCCATCAGCAGTCTCCCAGACATTGTCCAAGTTGTTGATACCCTGAGCCCACTTGTAAGTCAACAAGGGGGGCACCTCAGAGTCCGAGGGCTTGATCCAAGCGGGGAACAAGTGGCGCTGCTCTGCCTGGTACCACAGATACTGGTCGAGATAGGCGTCAGTGATCTTTTCGATGGGCTCCACGTCGTACACGGGATTGATATGGCTGTAATTGTCGTTCATATCAATGCCAACTTCCTTGAAGGCTCGCTGAGTCAAGAGGAAACGCTTGATTCTGGCTAGGGTCGTTCCAGGGGAATCGTACGCCTGTTCGATGAGAGCGAGCTCCTCACGCTGACTCTGGTTGAGTCTACCCTTGACGGAGTAGGATTCACGCAGACGCTCCAGAGCAAGGATCAGGATTTTGGTGTCATGCTTGTAAGAAACACTAGGGAAGGGGATCGGAGAGAACTTGCGAGACTCAAGCCAGTGGACCATAGTTGTGTAGATGGCCACAGCTTCCTCGGACGACACGTAGGGACCATCCTTAAGGTAGTTGTGTTGACGCTCTTGCTCAGCCTTGAGCCACAACCGGGTGAGTCGACCAAGGTTCTTCTTTGCAACTGTCTTATCAACGGTGGCACCACGACGGATACGTTCACGGTTGTAGTGAGCGACGGAAATCCACCAGTCGGCCTTGCTCTTGACGTAACGGAGAATAATATTCTCAATGGGCGCCGGAAGGCCAGGAACCTTCCAAGGGATGTTACTCTTCCAGCATCTCCATGCCTCCGACAGATGTTGGAGCACAGTGTTGACCTTGTTCTGCTTGATACCCTCGGGCATCATGTCCATGAGATCCGCCATGACAGATGCACGGAGTTCAAGATCGAAGTGAGACTCCACACGTTGCTTGGTGACAGTCTTGGCAACACCCTTGCTGTGGCGACCCTCGAACTGACGGGACAGCAGGTTTCCGAGCCATCTCTCGAGCAGAGGAATAATACCACGCATGAAGAAGAGCCAAACACGCCAGGCCGGGGCCCAGAATCCGCATCCAGGACCCTTACCCACAGGTCCCGAGTTGAAGCGATAGTAGATCAAATGCTTGAGATCCTTGCAAGAACGAATCTGGTGCATCAACTTGTACTTGTAACGGTACATACCAGTAAGCTGTCCGACGTGGTTGAAAGCATACAGGATGCCGTCAGCCAGCTGGAAGGCATCAATGTTACCCAACCGATATTGCACCTGAGCGTCGACAATCAACTTGGTGAGACGAAGGATTTCTCTCATCAAGTGGAAAGCGTTTCCGAAACGAGACTTCTTTCGCTCCTTGGTGGTCAAAGTCTTGACGGGCTTCAAGTTGAAGTTGTAGTCAAGGTGGAGGTAGGTCAAGTTCTTGCGGTGGATCAACAAGTTGAGCATGTTGAAACCCTGGCGGCAAACTTGCAGACCTGCTTCAACCCAATCAATCGTCGTCTGCTGGAAGAACTTGGTCGACTTCAAAGTCTTCAACAGATTCTGTTTGTTCTGGGCCTTGGGCTTCTTCTTGTGTAGCTCATTGAGGACGAACGTCTTAAGCAGCTTCTGGTATGAGACGCGAACCTTGACAGGCTGGCCCTGCGGGCAATGCTCCAGATACCACTGCTTCACGAGGGGAACATCCTGGGCGCGCACCATCTTGCCGGAGCGCTTGTTGAAGGGATGAGGGGCCCACCAGAGGGCAATGGCGGACGCGGTATCGGGTGTATACAATTCCTCATCGGAGAAGAACGGCTCGAAGTCGCCAGGGAGCTCGAAGTCGTCCTCGTTAATTCCTTCACCAAAGATCTCATCTTCATGGCTGACAGTGATATTCTTCGGCGCGACGGACCGGGAGGAGATAGGGTTGATGACGGGGTCGAAGTAGAAGGCGGGGAGATTAGGGTCGTCGGTGCGGACATATACAACTTGAGGGTGAGAGTACCAAGAAACCTTTACGCTTCTCGGAAGGGTATTGTACAGGAAGGGGTAGGCAACGCGGTATTCCGTGCGGATAGGGGCGCGGAAGATGATACGGTCGATGGCGTTGAATTCGCTGAAGTCCTCGTCATTGGGGTCAATATCCTTGTACAGGGGCTCGAAGCGAGGACCACCGGGGATAGCGACGTTCAGTGCCTTAGCAGTAAAGAAACTGTTCAAGTCAAACATGTGGAAGTAGTTCTGATCGACGACGTCACTGAGGAGTTGATGACTTAGTCGATACAGAGTAGCCATCTGGGGAAGTGTCAAGTTCCAGCTCTTGTAGCTCGGCCCATTAACATGGGGAGTATCCAGCAGAGGCCGGTGATCATAGAACCACTCATAGACAGGAGCATCCTCCGACTCATCAAGCTCCATCTGAATGGGTTCCAACGGCTCCACATCTTCAATGTTTTCCGACCACGATAGCGGAGGTTCTTCGTCGTCGAAAGGAGGGAAGCGCATTCTCTTGAAGTGTCTGCGATCACTCTTCTCTCGCCGCATGCACACCCACATGGTAGCCCATTGAGCGTGAAACACGGGCTCAATGACACGAGGAGTCTCATTGACCAAGGTAAGGCAACCATTAACATGATACAATACCTTCACTTCCCTAGCCGATTCCCAAGGCATGGGCATGTTCTCCAGCAACTTCAACACAGCATGGGGCATGAACTTAAGCGCACCGAGGTAGCTGCGCTTCTCATTGCTGAACTTCTTTTGCGACACATCGCCAATGTCCCGAACAATCTTTCGCAGATGCTCCGGGGGCATATCAGCCTTTTGTGTTTCGACAAATCCACCCTTTCTCTTCTCGCCAAACCGGTTCCGTTGCGTCCGCAGCCATTCATTCTTCTTCTGGGCAAACTTCGCGACAGTCGGATCCGCAGGCGGTTGATATCCCGGTGGCGGAGGAGCCAACGGCATCGACGGCGGCGCCGACGCACCCCAGCCCGGAGGCGGAGGGGGAGGCAATGATGCCATGGTAATGGGTTGTATATATGAAGGACACTCTCTGCTCTGATGGACGGGCTGGAAGTTTCGTGACTAAGTCGCGTCAAAAGATGCACGGAACGTGACTTATCGCGAGCTCATCGACTGCAGCTCAGCGACGCGAAAAAAACGGAATGGAGGAGGGGGGAATTAAAAAAAGTTGATAAAAAGAAATCGCGTCGGAGAAATGAAGCTTTGCCCCGAAGAAGATAAAACCACTCCTGGACGATCCCCTTCTCACGACGGGAAGGTGATAAGACAGCTTGCTCCAGTCTCTTCTTGCTTCTCCTGCCTTGTTTGATGAAGCAAGTCTGAAAAGAGGTGGCGGCTCTGCTTGGGCCGGTACTAGTCCGGATTGGGGTTAGCGCGTTCTCGCCAAATTAGCGCTAGCGCGGCCGCCCAGGGCTCCGAGCGAAACCCACACAAATCCAGATTACCGCGAGAATTCTACGAGGTCAACGACGACAACCGACGACGCCGCCGCCAATCTCTTGAGACCACCGACCTAGAGGTTCAAGGACAGACAAAATGGCGAACAACAGACTCCAATACGTGAGTATATTGAATCTCTGATTATTATATGAAATGGAATACTGATCTAATGTTCTTTTTCTCTGCAGCGCCGCCGGAACCCGTACGTTTGAATTTTCCCTCTTGATTCTACCCCCATCGTGCCTTTTGTCACACCCACCAAATTTTCTCTCTTTGATCGGTCGCTACGGTGCAATAACGATTTGTCCGATTTCGACGCGATGGACCGCTGCTTTGCTCTTGAAATTCTTTATATACGCCGAGATATTCATGAATAGGGTATTGATGGATTTTTGTTCTTCAGGTACAACACGCGGTCCAACCAGGTCCGCATCATCAAGACCCCCGGCGGTGAGCTTCGTTACCTTCACATCAAGAAGAAGGGCACTGCTCCCAAGTGCGGTGACTGTGGCATCAAGCTCCCTGGTGTGAGTGCTCCCGAATTATCTATGCTGAATGGTGGCGGTGGTGGTTGTGCGTGAACGAGCTGGGAAATGGATTATGGATTGAGAGAGTGTGTGCATGGACGATCGCTTCAAGCAACGCACAAGGAAACGACAACAATCAACATCATCACCACCACCACCACCACCACCACCATTCGCGATATAAAGGATATGAAGGAAGAGCAAAAATGGCTGATTGTATTACCCTTTTCCACCGATATAGGTCCCCGCTCTCCGCCCTCGCGAGTACGCTCAGATCTCCCGCCCCAAGAAGAACGTCAGCCGCGCCTACGGTGGTTCCCGCTGCGCCGGTTGCGTCAAGGACCGCATCGTCCGTGCTTTCCTGATTGAGGAGCAGAAGATCGTCAAGAAGGTCCTCAAGGAGTCTCAGGAGAAGGCTGCCGGCAAGCGCTAAATGCATCATAAATATCAATAAATGATGTTTTTTTGTGATTAGAGGAGCGAATTATGGAAAATTTTCTTTAAAAAATTTGGCTCGGTTCTAGGGTTCTTTCATTCTTCAATGAACAAAGAACGGCGCGGCTAAAAAATTGATCACGACGGGGTAATATGTACGGGTCGTGATTCCCAATGAATGAATTCTTCTATTCATGAAATGAGATTTCCATATTTTTTCACTCCTCGCTGTCTGTCCTTGGGATGTCGTTCTTTTTTTATTTTTTTTAAACCGTTCGCCGCTTCGATATGCTGAGGTGTGATGCGAATCGTGTTTCTTCGCATCACTCCACACCGTAGAACTTGGTCAAGTCCCCAGTCATCCCAGTCCGTATATATCTAATGCATGCATACATACACTGGCCATGGACTACACCGAAGAAGATTCCCGGGGTATCATAAACTACAAATTATAAACCATATTTCTCTCTCTCCCCTGAACGCCTACGTAAACTACTGGCTGCAGTGGCATGAAATAAGTAGTACTAGTCTTTCCCATTCCAAGCAAGCGACAACCAAAATCAGTCAAGCAAGCAAGCAATCAATACACGAACCAATCCACCAACCAAGATACAGTAGATAGATAAGTCGATCGATCAAAGTGACTACCTAGGTACATAAGTGTGTTTTGTGTAAATAGTAGTAGTAGTAGTAGTAGTAGTAGTAGTAGTAGTAGTAGGTCCATTCTCTGCACAACCAACCGAAAGCGGAACCGATGGCATATCTCCTCGAAGTCGTAAAAAATAAGAGTAAGTGGTGCTGTGAAACCACTCGGCACGTGTGTTTTATAAAAAAAAAGAAAAAAAAAAAAACGTAGTAGTACTAAGTCAGTTAATTGACTTATCGGTGGGAGGTTTGATTTTCAAGGTTGATATATATACATATATTGCTAAAGTCAGGTACAGTTATGGTATCCTGAACTATTTAATTCGGCCGAGTTGAAACATAAGTACCTATGTTCATATTTATCCACCCCGTTCGCTACTTAGCGTGCTTCGCGGAGCACTACACACTTCACGCGTCCAGTTTCGGACACTACACCCTTAATGGGAGGATAGAGGTAGGTACATTGAGAGGGAGGGGAGAGGGAATAGCAAACACCAAGAAAAGAAAAGAAAAGAGAAGAAAAGAAAAGAAAAGAAAAGAAAAGAAAAAAAAAAAAGCCGCAATACTAAATGCTGCTACTACTACCCGGGGATGTCAAGACTCCGGGCACCTGGTTCAGGATGAGTGGGAAGAAAAAAGAAATGGGTAGGCTTTGGTGTTTGTGATACCTGAGCATATTTCCTTGGATTTGACCCAGCAGGTCCAGTTTATTCTGTTAGGTGGCAGGTTGGGAGACGTAGTTGATCATAGGTTGGCGCTAAGTAAGATACGTTAACGCAGAATGATTTGACTGCCCTGCATAATTGCCATGTCTGGGCATTATCCAGCACAGCATAGCATACTACCTACAGGAAGTAAGTCATTTGGTGAGGGGGTAGGTAGTACATACCTAAGACAAGGTGAGTAACTCGGACCGAGAGGATGAGGGATCATCGGAGTAAGGGCAAATATATAATGGGGTTACTATCATACGGTAGTAGTAGTTTTACCACCACCCTAGTCAGTGGGCCCCTCGTATCCATTAATATCCCTACTTACCCATTGTCTCTATCCTTCGCAATGCTCGGGCGGTCTTTGTCTCCATTGTGTGTGAAGAGGTAGTAGTGAGTGACCGTAAGCACCTAATCAGCAATGATCAAAAACGGGTCAATGATTGTTTCAACACCTCCTCTTTCCCCCAAAAAGGAATTCTGGCGGCAAAAGAATCAATCCATGAATTATACATCATGATGACAGATTCGCACACATCTAGTCTGGTCACTATTGAAATAATCCTGGACCCCTGTTCGCCTGCAGATGGCATGCAGCTGACTGACATGAATGACAGTCTAACAGGCGCGTTAGCCATCGGTCGTTCGGGGGTCGGTTGATCATCCGACATGAAAAGAATCCCCCCTGCGGCTACTGCTGCTACTGCTGATTTTCTGCTGTGGTGGTGCTGTTTGGGCCCTTCCGTCAGTGAAACGAGATACGGTAAGCAGATGGGCATTCACTTGGCGCTGAAATCGTGGCGGAGTAGGCTAGCAAGTAGTAAATTTAGTAAGGAGTGCTTCATGCTCTTGATGCTGTTTGACAGGGAGATCGACCAGCTAGCTGTGTTGATTTCTTGGTTTGTTGAGCTCCATTTGAATGGCAGCAGCAGCAGCAACAACAACAACAACAACAACCCAACAGTCAGATCAACTTCAACTGACTGCTCTCACCGTGCGTTAGTGCTCATTTCCGGCATCTTGAACTTCCGATGATGCGAAAGGGACAAGAGGGCAAAAGGTCACATGTGATGCTGGGAATGGCTCCATCTGCCCCTTTTTCACTCTGGCTCATCCATGCCATTCCATGTACTATTCCGTGTCCTGTGCCCTCCTCTCAAGCGATAAGAGAGGATTTTGAGGTGGAAGGGGAAGTGGCTTGAATAATTTGTCTCTGCTTTCCGATGGAGTATCACTGGGCGTCCTGTCAATGTGTGTATGAAGGATGATGCACTTGCCCTTCGCCGAAGCGGGGTGCGAGGGAAATGACCAAAGAAAGGAAAAGAAGGTATTGGTGAGAGAACCAGATCCGTGGGAAGTCCGAATTGCAATCCATCTCTCATAATAGTGAGATGATAATATTAATCTAAAAGCATATGATTTGTGTATCAGGATTCTACCCAAGCCAGCCTGGCCCGACAGATACATACGGCGACACGCTCAGCAAGCTTCTTTGGCCCAGTCGCTTGGCTCATCCGGCATGTGCTGAGGGTGACACCAGCCTTAGCCGCTGCTGTGACGGTCTTGAATCAGATATAGTCTCGTGGTCAAGTAACCCTAAAATATGAAGGGGATGCTATCGTTGTCTATCACGACGCTAAAGTATCAAGTAGCATGGTGTAGACTATTCTGATCCGGAGGGATTGGCAGGCATCACACCGTTATGGACCGGTCAAATGAAAGGCACGGGGATGGGAGGTGCCACACTTATGCAAGATTCAGGATACATCCCGGCAGTGTCTGATGTCGAACCGAGAAGGCAAAGAAGGCAACTACTTACATCTGACTCGATCGGGTTTCATTGTCATCCTGTACCTTGGATGGTCTAGACGATTGGACCACGCTATGTCGGATCCTCAAATCATCACAAGTGGTCTGAGTACTATACAATCATCAAGTACTTGGATCGCACTGTGGCCTTCCAATGGTCACGACTGCTGCGATTGGTGAAGAGGGTGGCAAGGGATCGCGAACACTCGGAAAGGCGAGTGGGTTCCTGTGAGAGGGGGGTTTCTTCTGTGGCGTCCAACTGCTGATTCAACTTGCGGATGCTATCAGGGATTTGGGGAATTCGTGGCTCTTTGGAAGACACAACTGGCACTAGTTCTTCACACGGATAGGGACAATCTCATTGATCCCTCGGCCGATTTCTCGCTAGCCGCCACTGTTTAAATATGTTTCTTGCATCTTGGCAGCCATGTTGGTGATTAAAAGGCCATGTGAGAGCGAATATGCAGAGGCAGTCAGTCATGATAATCGTATATCGGACCCCCCGGTCTGATACGGTTCTAGACTTCAACCCAGCGCCTTGGTCAATCTACCTATTAACGTGCCAGTTGACATTTCCCTAACATGGCCCAAGCGTGCTTAAGCATAGTGCTCACATGCGGACGCATTCCATCCGGCTGTCCATGCGGTGGGCACCGAACTGTTGCCGATTAGCCTTAGACATTCGGCGCGGCCCGTTCTTCGAAAGTCAAAAGTTACATTAAGGTAGACTAGAAGGGAGAAACCAGAATTGGAAGCGGGCTATAGGGCCAGAAGGTACTTTTTGCGCGCTGTTGCACCGCGTTACAAAAGTCGGGCGCGCAAGTTCAAAGTTTAATAGCCGCCTTGGATACCCACCTGATATGAAG